AAATGAATTGTGCGTTAAGTAGAAAGTTACTAATCAATATTTTAATCGATGAAAAATTCCCATCATTATATTAAAACACAATTGTATGAACGAAGAATATTCTTTTCAATGAATTTCTCATCAGGTTCTACAATTATAAATCCAAATTAATAATCCATAAAATTGGCCAGATTCAAGGCAGAGTACATCATTTGGAAATTGTAGTATATGAATTGAGAATTTTTGTTTGTTATATAAACTCAATTCAGATCGTTAATGTTGGGGCTGACTAATATCCAGTTGTTAACTTCAATCAGTTTATAAGTGAAATGAAATTGTGCGATAAATGATCAGAATAAATATGGTCAACATGGGGTGAGAAATTATTGAAAAGAATATTCTTTGTTCATACAATTGTGTTTTACTAGTATGGGGGTTGTGGAGATTATTACGTTTTTGATTGAGATCATGAACCGATTGATGTTCATGATCTCAATCAAAAACTTAATAATCTCCACAACCCCATACTAGTAATCAACATGTGCTCACTAGTGACTAGCTTCGTGAGGGAATTCTCGGAGTTCTAGTGAGAAGCCGTGATCAGTGGAGCTAATCCATGTCGGGTAGAGACAGGTATCTACCTCAGTACAATGGAAGTTGGTCGCGCGATTTCGTGGATTGGTTGATGTTAGACACTATCACCATTGGATGCCGGCTCAGTGGTCCAATTGGTTAAGCGTTCGCGCGCGAGACCGAAGGCCCTGGGTCCGATCCCGCGGGCGGGATCGTGGATGCGCACTGCTGAGGAGTCCCACAATAGGACGAAACGGCCGTCCAGTGCTTCCAGGTTTCCAAAGGTGGTGGTCTAACATCAATCGGTTCATGATCTCAATCAAAAATTGTGTTTTAATCAATATTTTTCATATATATCTCAATAAGTAGAAAATTGTGTTTCAAACGTTTTGTGACAGTGTAAGCACATTCTTCAGAGTAAATAAATCTGAAGAAATGGTTTACACTGTCACGAAACGTTAAAAATACAATTTTCCACTTACTTGGATATAACAAAAAATAGATTTTTTATTTTTATGATTGTTAAAAGTAGTTGAGTTGATATTCTAATTATTAGTTCCCAGAATAGTTCAATTTAAGGTAATTTATATTGTCATCTGTTCTGTATATATCACTGCAATAGTAAAGTAATGAATATAATGGATATCACTGATATTTCACTAACAGTTTTGATAGTCTTATCATAACTACACATTCTGATTGACTATCAAATATTTCTTTTTCAAATTCAAAATCTCTTTTTTATCTGATTATGATACAAACTGCCTTGTCCATATAGATTTTTTAAAAATCATATCTTTGTTACAATTCGTCGTTTGAATGCTTACTGTCTTGGTTCTTTTAATGCTACTTTTGTATTTGGTCGTCGCTGATTGTTATGTCGGAAACGTTTATCACTTATACTCCGAACGAGGGACCTCTGCAATTCCCACGATGCGAAAGCAAGAACACAAAGACTGGTATAAGTGATGATTTATCAGCCCCAAAACACGACGACGATGATGACAACTCTAGTAGAAAATATTCTCATTTATATATTGATTGTACACCCATTTTGACTAATAATTAGGATCAAATCACATACTGAGCATAGTTCATGTCAATGGAATACAAGAATATCGCATATTATACAGAATAAAATATCATGCGAGAAAAGAAAAGAAATACTACATTGAGTAAGTATTACATTGAATCAAAACGGAAGTAATCTTGAACAAAATTCATAATGAGTAAGTCAATCATATCACTCTTCAATGTTCAATCTTTTCTACAACTATTAATACTGTTACTACTTGTAATAGTCTGGCAGTTCTCTGACTTAATACAATGTAAAAACTCGAACTAATTCCCATATATTCTAGGTTCTTTGTTGCATTTGTTTAACTAAGACAAAAGTTCTTTCCTATAACTTATTTCTCATTTTAAGAAAGACAGGTTAAATAGAAATAACTGACAGACTAAATGTATTATTATTTGATATTATTATTGTCCAACTATTGATGAAAACACTTAAATCTTCTACCTAAAACTATGTTAGTATATACCTATGTTAATTCATCTACTTTCATGTCTCTATGTGTGTTTATGTTAAAGTAAATTTCAGTTTGATACTCATTTTCAAATATCAATAAAATCTTTAAAAGACTAAACCAAATTCTTCACCTTTTTTTTGTATATCCTCTGTTTATACACCTATATACAAATAATGGAACAGTAATGATGAATATTCATTTGTCAGGTATCATTTCAATTGTACCTTCATTTCTTTTTATTCTTTAATTATTTAAACAAAAACTAAATAATATTCATAAGTGTTCAATGGTGATGATAAATTTAACAAGATTGGTCAACTTTTATCAATATGATTGAAATAAACGTTTTTTGTTGTAGTCGTTGTTGTTTTGTTTCGTCTGTTTGTTTGTTTGTTTGGTTTAATTTCACAGTTAGTAAAATGTTTATTTTTTCGAAAAGAGAAATTAATAAGGAAATATCATTAATTTAGAGAGTATGTCAATTTTCAAACAAAAAAAAACTTAACATTTGTAAATTGATTTAATTTTCTTTCTGCCTTGTGTATCCTATTCCTTCTTTTTTTCTTTTCTTTTTTTTTTTTTTTTAACTATTCAAAGTATTATCGATTCTTCAGTGGTTTATACTTCATCTACATAATTTTCAATGAATTCTTTGTTAAAAACAAACAAACAAGCAAACAACAAATGATCAGTTAGTTAGTTAGTTAGTTAGTCATAGTGTAGTTACTATGATAACAAATTTATTAAACACTTTTGATTAAATTGTCAATATTAATTAAAACACTAAAGTTTTGGATACAGTAAGTCATTATAATAAGATTTTTCTTATGGTGTAGATGTTTTATTTTTTGCTTGTTATTTATTGTTTGTTTTTTTTTGCTTTGTAGACAATATTAATTTATTAAGATTTTCTATGTGATTCTTATGACAATGATGATTTTCATAAAATCTATCCATTAAGTCATTGACTTTTAGTTGACTAGGTGATATACAATCAAGTCGGTTAATTTAATCCAGTTTTATTTATTCTCTACTTGATATTAGGTTTGAGTTAAGTGTCACTTCTGATTGTTCATTCTTCTATATCGTTTGTTTATTTATTTATTTAAACTGTATCTTTCACACTTCCATTAGAGTTAATAATTACACTCCACTGATTGCCATCTCCTTAATTTCTATATCCATTATCCTGAAGCACAGTCAAACAGTAAATCTGTTATTCTATTTATCTGTATAAAAGATAATCTACTAATGATTTACTTGAAAATAAGATAAGATCATTTTCAAAAATTATTTACAACTTCTAATTTCTACACTATCAAACTTACTGGACATTTAGTATTTTAATAGATTTCGAAACTAGTTTTTCTTGCTGACTGTTATTGATTCTAAAATTAGTTGTTCACTGTTATTGTACTAGCAATGGGGAACTGATTGCTGTCGATGTGAGTCATGAATGCTAGACGCTAATATAGCTGGATCTAAGATGAAATAGTTTATTGATGCTCGTTAGTTTTCAGTGGCTAACGACACATTTCACCTTGTTTTTGATGAAATTAATGAAAAATATGTGAAGCATCATCATGAAAATCATTTAATTCAGCTCATTATATATTTATGGGTTTTTCTGCTAAGAACACATATTACATTAATCTAGGAATGCCAATGATGACTGATGAACTAGATTTTCTAGGTATATACAATAATGCTGAGCTATCTATTTAACAATAAAAAAATTACATCACTGATTCAATCCTTACCCTCACATTAATAAAAGTTTTAAAAAATAATCCCTGATAAAATGAGTGCGTTAATTGTAGATTTACTGACATGAAATAAATCATTAAAATAAAATGAAAGTTCAACTTGAGGGTTTCAGTTGTTTACTGTATCAAATCTGCCTATAGTAATTGATATTAGGTGGCCATAAAGTCAGAAGAAAATCTAGGATTTATGCTTCGTGCTAGATGACAGACGTCAACATGAAAAATCAGCTATCTCCAAGGAAATGGTGCTCCATGGTGGATTTGAACCTATGCCACACAAGTTCACAAAATAAAACGTTACCGCTAAGGACCGTAGTATTGGTCAATAGTTAACAATCAGTCAGTACAGATATCTCAGTTCTTCAGGATATTGGTCGTGGTCCATATTAATCAAAGCCAAGTAGAATAAAACCAATATTTAGGAAATTAGGACATTGAACGTAGATAAGATACACATCGAGAAAATCATCAAACTGCATCACAAGGCAAGCTCCAACTTGGAATTCTAAAGGGAAATGGAAAATAGGATGACAAAGGAACACACTGAGTCAGAAATCGGAAAGAAACATCAACAGAATGAATAGCAAGTGGAAACAGCTGGAAATGATTTCCCAGAACAGAGTTGGGTGGAGAATGCTGGTGAGCGGCCTATGCTACCCTATGAGGGGTAACAGGTGTAAGCAAGTAAGTATCTAACCACCTAACATCTCAACACAATGCACGAAATGTTCAGAGATGTAGCCGACCTGCAACTTGGTTGATTAAATTCCATCATCATTAAAATGACCAAAAAAACATTATAACAATCACGTCTCAGCGAGTAATCACTGTATTCAGAGTACTGAACACTTTATGTTTTCATACTGATAATTTTTATTTGTTTATATTATTTTATAGATACATTTACAACCAAATCAAATACATTTAAAAAATCTATTTCATCAAAATCTACTGTTTCATCGAATACAAATAATTTCTTACTCGTTAATAATCCAAAATTTCAAGATAATCCTGAAATCAATAAAATCAGTGCTATACCATCTCATGAGACACATTCATCTGTATGGATGCCTGAATTACCAGATCATATGAATCTAATCAAAGGACATTTAACGCTAATATAAATTATGATTCACTGTCGTGTACAACTATGAATGATTCTATTAATAATTCACATCGAAATGAAACTACACTAAATTATAACAATGAATATTCTATTGATTGTACAGAGTTCAATAATCAATCAAAATACGACATAATTAACAATAACAATTCACTAAGTGGACGTACAAATTTTACAACTAGACAATTAACTGAATTAGAAAAAGAATTTCATTTTAATCGTTATCTATCACGTGCAAGACGTATTGAAATTGCAGCTGATTTAAGTTTAACAGAAACTCAAGTGAAAATTTGGTTTCAAAATCGTCGAATGAAACAAAAGAAACGTATAAGAGATAAAATTTTAGGTAGTACTTATCATGAAATAGATGAGATTACAACATCAATAACAACTAGTCCTCCGTTATGTATCTCTAACAATTTAAATCAATCTTGGAATTTAATCAGTTCACAAGCATTTAATAATCAATTATCTATGGAAGAAAACAAACAATTAAGTCATATCAGTGATAATATCATTACTCCTGTTAATAATGATAATAATAACCAGAATATTTATTACCATAACAAACATTTTATGGATTATAACATTCAAGATTTACGTAATCATTTAATATTTTATCCCTCTACAGCTTATACTACTACTACTACTGTTGCTTCCAATAGGATCACTACTACTATTACTACCAATAATAATACTACTAACAATAGAAGTAATTCCATGAACATCTAATTCAAATTATATACTCATACGCTGCATTTTTATTTCTGCCTTTATTGAATTTCAAAAAAAAAAATAGTGTTGTATATCTTCTATTGACATATATTTTCCAGAAAGAAAGAAAATAAAAAAAATTTTCTCCTTTATTTCTAATTCATTATGTTGAAGAGAAATTGAAAAGTAAACTGAAATAAAATTGAAGAAAATTTTTTATCGATTATAATTAAAATAATTCATTCCAAATTACATTTTAATACCAATCAATATATTGATAATCTGAGCGCGCACAATTCAAATTACCATTATTATTATTATTACTATTACTATTATTATTATTACCATGATTTTTATATTTCGAATTGAAATTCATATAAAAATTAGTTTATGAATTAATATGCAATTTGTTTTTGTTTAAACGAAAGAATGGATGAGTTATTGATTGAGATCATGAACCGGATGATGTAAGACCACCATTGAATACTTGGAAGCACTGGATGGACGTTTCGTTGTATTGTAGGACTCCTCAGCAGTGTGCGCCCACGATTCCGCTTGAAGGATTCGAACCCAGGGATTTCAGTCTCGTGTGAATGAATGAATGAATGAATGAATGGGTGATGATGATGATGATGATGATGATGATGATGATGATGATGATGATTTAATCAAAATTTCACATGGTAATAAGAAAATCAACTGAATTATTTTGTAAATTAATTTTTCTGGTTAATTTTTTTTACCAATCCATAAATTGCATAATAGTTTTCCCTCCGAAAATCTATTTAATACTATTCAAAAATTACAATCAGTTAATCTATGGATCGATCTCATACGGTCTAATTATCCATTTAATGTTTGTTATTTATTTATTATTAAAATGTAATAGAGTACTTAATAAGGTATGTATCAATCATGAAAAGACATTTTCAGAACTGTTAATGTAATTCACAAGAATATGTTTAAAAGGTGTATTTTTGAATTCAAAAATAATAAAATAGACTATAAGTAGATATGGATGGTGGCTAGTAGTGGAATCCAGGACGCACGTTTCGTTCCATTTGGGACTCGTTAGTTGGATGTATCTACATTCTAGAGTTTGATATTCCCTCCACAACTCGAATCCAGTAACGTCCGCTTCAGACGTCATCTCGTTATTCACTTAGCTGCTCAGTCCAGATAGCCACTAGCTTGTACAATGAGCTGGAGTTTAATTCATTTTTTATTTGTTTATTTGAATCGTTCCATTGAATTAAGCCAATATCGAGGCAATCCACACAGTATGCACATATGTCAATAACAGACTGATCGATTTCAGTCCTAAATATCAATGAGAAGATTCAAGTAAACAATATCAAGTGAATACGTAACTAGCGTTGATTGATTAATGGAAGATAATTGAAAGAAAATATTGATAACACTATAACTGGTAATCTTAAAAAAATCCGTCGTTTCTTTTTGTTTACAAGGGAATGGACAAAATATTCTTCAAATAGTTAGCTCAAAATGATTATCGTTAGTACGAAATAATGAAAATATAGTTGTCAACTAATAATTATTACTGAAAATATTTTACAAGATATTAAGATAAATCAAATCGTAAATGTAAGTCAAGTAAAAATTGAGTTTGTAAATAAGACTTCTCATAAAACATGTAGTGAAGAACGGAAAAAGCTGGTCGTATTGAGAAAAGTGACAATGAGAAGTGGGTGTTGTAATACAATCAATGCTTACTGAATAAATAATACAAACAGAGGTAACCCCATAAAAGCATACTACATTGTAATTTGAAAAAGAACACCATAATTCATATGACTAAACATCTAAACTGCAAGACTACATTGTACTACAATCTGATTAATTTCAATAGATGCCTGACTAAAATTATTTTGATAAGATGGCGGTTGGAGGCGATCAAAAGTAGATCGTAGAACTACGTTTCATGCTGTTTGGGATTTGTCAGCAAATCGTACCTATGATACATGAAACTGGTCACTACTCAGTGATTAATCAATTTTTAAAAAAACCCACTTCCTTATAAAACCAATCAGTTTTATTTATAATTAGATGACTGTTATTTTGATTCGTCAGTAAAATATAAAATAATATTGAAAGAATTTTTTAGAAAAAAGTATATAACTACAAATATTTAAGAATATTGTAAGGAAAATATTTCAATTAAAGGCTGGTTTAATTTAACATCGTAAATGAAATCAGTCTTTGATCAATAAAGTCTACAAAAATAAATCAGTAAACACAAAACCTGATCAGTTAAACTGTACTGTACAGTAGACCAGTAACCTAATTCCTGATATTCTAGGAGTTCCAGTGAAAAATAGTGAACTGTGCAGTATAGATGTATCAAGGGTGAAACAGTTGTCTGCAGTGGCACCAGATGATCATCGCACCTTATCACAAAAATTGATTGAACTTGGATTTGTACCATTGGTTGTTGACTCAGGGTTCTAATGGCCAAGTGTCTAGTCCAAAACCTGAAGGTCCTGAGCTTAAACCATAGAAGAGTAGTCGGTACGCACTGCTGAAGACTAGGACAAAATAGCCTTTTAGTGGTACCTGGTTTTTACTGATACCTGAACTAAGATTAATCCATAACGAATACAATATATAAATAAGCATTCAGTAAATACTTTTAGAAATTCTACAAATTGACTTGTTAAACAACAACTAATGTTGATTTTTCCAAAAATTTGCATGCTCCTTTCCAGTAGCTTTAAAATTCCTTGTTAGTTAACTAGTCTGCAGGCTTCGATGATATTAATCTGAAATTTAGTACTGTTCAGGGTGACTAGTAACAAATAACATTGTTTTTCATTACGAATAAATTCCTAGGATCATGATAACAAAAACAGACAGGTCCTTTCACTAGATTTAGTATCATATGTTGATTTAGTGACTAAAGTACATTAGTAAATTGGTGAACAGAGCGGATAAGTCTTTTCATTTAGCTTTTCATCACGGCTCTATACTGATATATACCTATTTAAATAACAACAGTAATATAATACTAACCAAGTAGCAGTGTAACATGCTAATTATATAACTTACAAGTAACTATCAAATGAATACCGAATGATTAATTGAGCAATTGGAAGAAAGATGAACAGATAGTTGCTAGATTACTGTTATTTCCTATGGACTTGCTAATATATCATGTGACTAAATCGCTAATTAAGAACACCAACGTATATGACTTTGGCACTGTGCCAACTCAGTGATGCGTAAATCAGTATCAACAGCCTAGAGTCAACTCTGAGTTCATATTTGTCCTCTGAAATAGTAGTCTATCGTCTAGCCTAGTTGGTTCAGTCCAGAACACCAACATGAGCCTCCGCCATATGGATCACATATTTCAGATAAATACAGTTTATATACAAACAAATCAGACCGCACCATACCATAGAAAAAGAAGATGACAATTATACAAGGTCAGGCCCAAAGTGCCTGTGAGTGTGAGATGCTGCAACTAACAAATTGGGAATAACTTAAGAGCATTAAATCGTATAATAGCAGTCAATAGGTCAAATGGAAAATTATAATAAAAGGAATATGAATATAAATATATGATATAATTACTAAATAGTTATACAATAAGAATATATATACATATTAAAAGTCCATACATAGCCCCCAGAAGTTACCCATAATTTAATCTTCCTATACAACAATTACATAATATTTAAAAGGAGAATTAATAAAATATTTCGATATAAGTTCAATTTTTGTAGCAGCTATGTTAGGAATCAAGAGATGAATATAGTGAGCATGTGTAAAAGCAATTCAAGTTGGCATAGTGAATAGTATCATGTTGTTTTGATATCAATAGGGGTATAAACAGTTTTTTTCACGAATTGAGTTCTGGTGAGAAGCAGTGACCAGTGGAGTTCAACCGGGTCTGTTGTGAGATAGTAACTCACCGAAGATATTGGTGGATGTGTCGCTCAACTTCGTGGATTGGTTGAAGTTATAGATTAACACCGTTGGATGCCGGCTCAGTGGTCTATGGATTAAGCGCTTGCACTTGAGACTGATAGGTCCTGGGTTCGAATCTCACGAGGTGACGTCGTGGATGTGCACTGCTGAGGAGTCCGACGATGAGACGAAACGGCCGTCCGGTGCTTCCAGGTTTTCCATAGTGGTCTAGCTTCAATTCACTCATGATCTCAACCATTGAAATAACCATAGTATTCACAAAAACCCTTCTCTGATTATAATTTATAATAACCGAACTATCATCAAATGTAAACAACAATCGAAATAATTTAGCGGTAGACATTTTTTGAAAAAGTATTGGGTAATTTAAATTTGCCTCTTCGTAATCAGAACATTCGTTTTTGTAATATCTAGCCAGAAATCAACCTAGAAATCAAATAGCTTAATTGCAGAGGTTTTTTCCCGGGGGGGGTGATTTGCTGACTAACAGCTAATTATATAATATAGTCAATCAACCGTTGATTAGTTGGTGGTAGCATGTGTTTCATATAAACGAAAAACAGTACTTATACTCACAATGATTCAGTTTGTATTGAAAAACTGATGCATAAATTTAACGTATTGGCTGGTTAAAGTGTTATTTTTCTATTTCATTTTTAGTTAATTAATGGAGCATTTGAAAAAAGTATTTATTGCAATTTCCCAGGCCATGGTGAAGTCATACTCTGTAAACATTACAAATGGTATTCGATACAGTGCACCAATCAAAGGTTGCCAAATGAAAGGACTATGTTGTGCTAATCAAAAATCTTCCTAAAGAAAAGTTCATGTTGTTGACCAAGAAATAGTTTCATTTTCTAAGAATTATATATATACATATACAAATTAGTGTTTATGTATTTCGATTTAATTCAGCCCAACAAACTTCATCTCTTACCCTTAATCTTGTCGCTAATTAGTCGATTGGGGCTTCAATAATTGGAAGTTTTGCGTATCGGTTTCAGTCTGGGACTCCAAGCGTTATAACAGTATTTAGATTTCCTATTAATTTATTAGTTTGATTACTA